CCCTTGACAACACCTCTAAACCTGTGCACACAACAAAGGAGCCACACACAATATCCCCCATTTATCTCAACTCCACGGTTTCCAAGGCAACAGTATTGTGAGAGACCAAGGTCAGGGTCAGGCAGGCAGGCATCATCCAGGCCTGAAATTAATTTTCCCTTGGCTCACAGAAGGAAAATTTAACATCAGTTAATCTATCACTGTGATCTGCCAATTAACGGGTAAAGGAGAAAAATCATCTGATCCTTACAAAAAGCAGAAATAGAAAACTAAAGTGGGTTCATAATAAAAAATTAGGAAGTTCAGAATAGGAGGAAAAATTTAAATTCATTAAAGGCTATCTACCCCAAATCTAAACTTTATACTTAAAATGAAAGTTTGAAAGTGTTTCCATTAAGTCAGGAACAAGGTAAGATTGCTCTATATCACTACTGTTCACCATTATTCTAGAGTTCCTGGCCAATGTAATAAGAGAAATAAATAAGAGGGATAAAAATTGCAAAGAAACAACAGTGTCTATATTTGCAGGTTATATTACTGTCAATTTGGAAAAATCCAAGAAAATCTAGAGGAAAACTATTTGAACTAATAAGAGAGTTTGGCAGAGCCACTAGGTACAAGGTCAACATGCAAAAAGCAATCGATTACTGTATGAAGAAATAAGAAGCTAGGATATGCCATTCTCAATGTCAACTAAAACTATAAGATATCTAGGAATATAGCTTATAAAAGATATGCTAGACCTTATGAAGGAGAATACAAAATATTTTTAAAATATAAAAAGAATATTAAAGAATAAATGGAAAGGTATAACATGTTTATGCATGGGAATACTCACTGTCATAAAGATGTCACTTCTTGCCCAGCCAGTGTGGCTCAGTGGTTGAGCATTGACCTATGAACAGGAGGTCATGGTTTGATTCCTGGTCTGGGCACATGCCCCGGGCTGTGGACTCAATCCCCAGTAGCAGGCGTGCAGGAGGCAGCCGATCAATTATTCTCATCATTGATGTTTCTCTCTCTCTCTCTCTCTCTCTCTCTCCCTCTCTCTCCCTCTCTCTCCCTCTCCCTTCCTCTCTTAAAAATAAAAAGATAACTTAGAAAAGGAAAATTACATACAAAAGAAAAATCACATATGCTTTAAATATATATATATATATATGTTGTTTAAATGCAGGAATCTGTAGTAACAGAAGGGTTAAACACAAATTGTGCCCAAACTGAGTTTGAAGGAGCTCAAACTCATTCTGAACCACCAAGAACTTCCTCTACAAATATTTGTATGTAGCTGAGTCTAAGGGTGTTGGAGACTGACTGCATAAATAGAGTCCAAAATTAGCTTTTATAGAGAATACAATATTTATAAAGACTAAGTGATAAAAATCTGCTAATTTGAACCATATTCCAGAGTAGTCACAGGACTTATTTCAACTTAGACCATTGAAAGTTTTTTCCAGGAAGAGTATTTTGTAATTCATATTGTTCAGAGTTGCCTGTGCATGATGATGATGATATAATATGATCAATTTTCTAGTTGTCTTATTGTTGCTTGGAAACTTTTTACAGACAACACACCTCTTTATTCTTTGTACCCATAATAGATTGCTTATACTGACCTGCTCTTTTTCTTTTTTTTTTTAGATTTTTTAAATGTTTTTTTTTAATGTATTTCAAAAAGAAAGGGAGAGATAGAAATACCAATGATGAGAGAGAATCATTGATTGGCTGCCTCCTGCACGCCCCTCTACTGGCAATCGAGCTGGTGACCCAGGCATGTGCCCTGACAGGGAATTGAACCGTGACCTCCTGGTTCATGGGTTGATGCTCAACCACTGAGCAACACTGTCCTGGCTATACTGATAGGTCCTAACTTTTCTTGGAAAAAGTGGTTCTCAAAGTGTGCCGCCTCAGCCAGCAGCTTCAGTGTCCCTAGTTCCCAGTTCCACCCCGGACCTACTAAATCAGCAACTCTGGGAGTGAAGGCCAGAAATCTGTTTTAATAAGCCCCCCCCCCCCCCCGATGATTCTGATGCCTGCTCAAGTTCAGAACCACTGTCTGAGAATTTGGAACCTGCCATAGCTAGGACTGGAGTCTAGGTCATTGGTGAATCCAGTGCTGTGATAAGATAGTGAAAGGCAGGAAAAGTGGCCACAGGCTCTAGGCTCTGGCAGACTGGACATCAGTTTCTCCTGTCACCAGTGAAGCAAAGTGTCCCTGGCTAGCAGAGAGAATGTCTTACCTTCTCGTCCCTCCAACAGTCTCCAGGGTATAACCGCTGAGTCCAAGGAAGGAGGACTCCTGGAGACTGTGGTTGCTGAGTGATGGGCTTTAATTTGGCTTGTTCTTTTCTTTAGGGGTTTCCACTGCTTGCAGCACTTAGCACCTGCTCAGGCTCCTTGGGCTGCTCCCCACATAAATGCGCCTCCCGTGATGGCAGCCCACGTCCTGTGATTCAGCCTCTGCAAAGGAGGATCAGGCACCCAATGTGCTATTAATAGAGTTTTCCATTTCAACATTATTTGAAAGAAGCTTTTCTCTGCTTCATTCATCAGATATTAACACTCCACTAAATGCCAAGGAATTGTGCAGCGTGGGCTGGAGCTACAGTGGTAAACTGACAAGGTCTCTGCTCTCAAAATGCTTTCTCTAGTAGGAGAGAAGGGGATTTTTAAAAAATAGATACAAATTGTACTAAGTGTGATCATGATGTCTAACTGCTCCCTTCAGAAGCCCATGTGTCCCACTCCCCCACTCGTTTCACCTACTTAACAGTCTCTAAAGATGGAATTTCCAAAGCTTAATGGATTTAAAAAAAAAATCTTTTCTATAGCCTCAGGAACCTGCTTTTAGGCTTGAGATCATCGCTGACCTCAAAGAATCATCTAGAAATTGACATCTAGGAACATCTAATGTTTCTGGAACAGTTTATGAGAGAGATAGGATGGTTGTAATAATGATAACTGCTTTGATATGCATCCCCTTTGGACCAGTCACTCTTGGGAATCCCTCTGAAAGGGATAATGTAGTCTTTAGAAAAGAGCTGTGCCACTGAAGTCAGTTATTGCAGTTTTGTATATTCAATAAATACATTCGATACTCAGTCATTATTTGCTAATGTGAGCAAATTACTTGAGCTCATTGGGTGTGGTGGGTCAAATGGGATGGTAATCTGTACCTGAAAAAGTTTGTGAGGACTACATGTCTGTGAATAGTTGTCTAGCACTAGGCCTGACACAGAGCAGGTGTTCATTTCACCTCCTCCTTCTGATCATATTGCATTTTATTATATATCTGAATATATACATATGAGAATTTATATGGTTGCTTTATATTCCCACCACTCCTCTCTCAGAGGACTGAATTTGCTCAGACTGTTGCTGCCCCTTCTCTGCCCCTAGCATTCTGAATGGTAGCATTCAGGTATTGAACTGTCCTGACTTTGATCAGGTTAGGACTGGAGGGAGAAAGCCACCATCAATTCTTCCTTAGTCTTCTGCATCTACCTCCTGATCTTCATGGCTCAGCCCTATCCATTCTGGGCAGTGGTCAGAGAGAGCACATTTCATTCATTCATTCATTCATTCATTCATTTTTAAATAATTCTTTATTGTTGAACGTATTACATATGTCCCCCCCCCCCATTGACTCCCTCCAGAGAGCACATTTTAGAACATAAATGTGACCATGAACTCCCCCAGTTACGTTTGGTATCTTCTTAGGCTCCCAAATCCTCCACATGGCTTACAGGGCCCTGCACGGTGTGACTCCTGCCCACCTTTCCTGCCAGATGTCTGTGCCCCACGTCCTGGCCTTTGGTTCCCTGAGTGCGCAGAAGCTGTCTCCTCTCCCTGAAATCCTTGCCCCTGCTTCCTCCTCTTTCCAGGTTTCAGCTTAAATGTGACTTCAGGGAAGTCGCAACCCACTGCTCTATCTAAAACAGGTGGCCCCATAATTTTCTACCACATGTCAATCTGTGACTTATGTTTTAGCTTGTTTATACCAAGAGTCCGCACACTTTTCTCCTAAAGAGCCAAGTGGGGGCCATAGATCTCTTGCCCTTGTAGTGTGAAAGCAGCCAGACAATACTTTTAGGAATGAGCACGACTGTGTGCCCATAAACCTTATTTCTGGATACTGAAAATTGAATTTTATACATTTTCATGTGTCACGAGCTATTCTTGTTTTAATGTTGTTCTCGAGTATTTGAAAATGTAAAAACCAGCCCTAGCTTGCAGGTTGTCCAGGGGTGGCCCACGGACCGTAGTGTATTTGTAGTAGTTTATTATTTGCGGACCCGGACGGGTTGGGCCCAGGATTGTTTCCAGCAGCACTGAGCACCCGGCGCGCCCGGACCACGCAGCTTCTCCCACCCGGGGGTACCTCCCACGGCGCCAGGCCTTTGCTAGGAGCCGG